CGTCGTGTATGAAGCGTTGGCTGGAGAAGTGTGGATCCTCCTGGAGGGTTTATTCTGGGCGGTCTCTCTCTCTCTCTCAGCAACAGGGGCTTCTGTGTTAACTGAGGCTAAATAAACACAGATGAACTGTCGAGCACATTCACAAAAATGTCCTGGCTATGTCTGCACAAGAGTGTGGAAACCGCAGCAGCAGCGCGTCCCTCGCAGACACACGCTGACATGAGCTCTGAGCAGCAGAAGAAGACATGCTACTCATCACAGACCCGATGAAGCGATGAAGAACCCTCATCTGAGCGAGATCCTGCCGTCAGGACACAAGAGACCCAAGCGCAAAGCGAGGGAGCCAGTGAGGCGCGGCATGCCTAACGCGCACCTCGCGGCGGAGACGGAGACAGAGACAGAGACGCGCGGCTCGCGGACCCTCGCGTCGAGGGACGACGGCGCGTTCAGTGCCGCGCTGGACATGAGGATCAATGCCGCGCCTGACTCCAGACTCGGAGAGCAGCCTGTCAGCGGCAGAAGCGTCGCGGCGCAGGAGCGAGCGTTGCCTCAGGAATGGCCTCGGGAACGCGCCATCCAGCAGACGCGCCGACTGCTCGCGAACGCGCGCGAGAGGACGCGCGTGCACACCATCAGCGCAGCCTTCGAGGCGCTGCGGAAACAGGTACAGTCTGCGCATGCGCCACCAGTACTAGTAGAGTATTAGTAGAGTACTAGTAGAGTATTAGTAGAGTACTAATAGAGTACTAATAGAGTATTAGTAGAGTACTAGTAGACTAATAGTAGAGTACTAATAGAGTACTAGTACAGTACTAGTATAGTATTAGTAGAGTATTAGATGAGTACTAGTAGAGTATTAGTAGAGTACTAGTAGAGTATTAGTAGAGTATTATATGAGTACTAGTAGAGTACTAGTAGAGTACTAATAGAGTACTAGTAGAGTATGAGTAGAGTATTAGTAGAGTACTAGTAGAATAATAGTAGAGTTCTAGTAGAGTATTAGTAGAGTATTATATGAGTACTAGTAGAGTATTAGTAGAGTACTAGTAGAGTAATAGTAGAGTACTAATAGAGTACTAGTAGAGTACTAATAGAGTATTAGTAGAGTATTAGTAGAGTACTAGTAGAGTATTATTAGAGTATTAGTAGACTGGTGGGGTTAGGGTTAGAGTACGTTGACATTGTTACTTTGTTACTCTGTTAATCACAATAAAGAGTTGGCAAATATCAATCAGACAGTCTACTAATATTCTAATGAGTGTTAGTTGTCATGTAGGTGCAACGTTACTTAGTGTCAACAGAATGTTCAAAAGGGACCATCAGAATAAAGTGTCACCATCAAAAAGTAATTTTTAAACACTTAATCAGTGTTGGGAGGGCAGTGGTTACACTTTATTAAGGCGTCCTTACAGGGTAATTATACATTTAAGTACTGAGTAATATTAATTAACTACATGTACTTATATGGTTAGGGTTAGGATTATGGTTACTTGCATGCAATTATTCATAATTTATTGTTATTATAATAGTAAGTACATGTAACAAGGACAACTAAAATTAAAGTGTTACCCTATAATCTAGTTACAGTAATAATCTTAGGCTACTTCGTGCAGTAACTAGTAGTGTAACTGATTACTAATAAGATTTCAGTAATAATATTAGTTACCATCCATAAAACAGCTAGTTGCTTTCGATGCCTCAACCCCGCTGATTTAAAATCCAACAATCCAGTAATTCCTAGATTTAGTTTCATAATTTTCATAACTTGCACAGACACATGAATTACCAGAGCATCAGGCGAGCTCGGAATATGGAAAAGCTTACATTCAGCGGATGGAAATATTGCTGGTACATTGGTTTTGTGAGGAGAACAGATGATCTGAACACTGTTGTGTACGTGGCGTTACTTTACTCTGGTGTTACATGGCTTGCCCTCATCCCTCTGATCCTGATATGAATTATATATAATCTTTTTAGAAAATGAAACATTTTCTTATGAACTTATATGATTTATTTTGATAAAATACATCATGAAATATAACCGTATAATCATAACTGACTGCCATCCAGTGTGGATTTTGGTCGAATGATGAGGCAGAAATATATTGTAACATTTTAGAAAACATTTATGGGGAAGATACACAATTACAGCTTCTGTGGAGCATGAAAGAAAAGTAATGCAACTAGTAGTGTAACTAATTACTGCTGCCAGAAAGTAATAATAATTAGTAATAATATTACTTTTGAAAGGAGTAACTAGTAATGAGTAATATATTTTTTTTCAGTAACAGTCCCGCAACACTGCACTTAATATAGATCCTCACTGAATGTAACACATCCAGGCCACACACTCATACTCTGTTTTGAAAGATAGCCAAGAGCTATTCAAGTCTTGAATTATTGCAGCAAACACCTAAAATAACATCACATCTATTTCTATAGCATGTTCTATGACAGAGATCGTTTCAAATCACCAGGAAAACATCAGAATCAGTGATGCAACCTCGATGAAATCCTATTTCAACTCTACCATGACAATACCTTTTTGTGAACATGTTTTTCTGAGAATAGCTCCAGCCTCTTCAGTGTTAGTTCATGTCAATGGCAGTGTGAAGTTCATCAGTTTAAGTTCAGTTCAGCTATAAGTTGTTCTACAAAAGGCAGCAGTGTGATTATTCAGCTCGAGTCAGTGCAGTGCTGATAATACCAGTGTCATAAAGTTCAGTTCAGGTTATGTTCTCATCAGATGGTGTGGGTCTGTGTGGAGTTAAAGGGTTAGTTCACCCAAAAAATGAAAATTGCCCCATGTTTTACTCACCCTCAAGTTATCCTAGGTGTATATGACTTTCTTCTTTCAGACAAATCCAGTCGGAGTTATATTAAAAAAACATCCTGGGGTGGGCTGGGGGGGTTAAAGTCCTCCTGTAGCAAACCGATGCGTTTTTGTAAGAAAAGTATCCATATTTAAAACCTTAGAAACAGTTTTCTTTAACTTCCACTAACTGTCGTACGCATGTTCACAATAGAAAGCCGTTAGCAGAAGCTAGAGAAAACTGTTTCTAAGGTTTTAAATATGGATACTTTTCTTACAAAAACGCATCAGTTTGCTACAGGAGGCCTTTATTCTCCCTTCACCCCCCAGAGCCGTGTGAGGTATGTTTTATTATGGATGGATGCTCTTTATTGGACTTCTTTTGGAATATTGAAAAATAACAATATTAGATTCGTCTGAAAGAAGAAAGTCATATACACCTAGGATGCATTGAGGGTGAGTAAAACATGGGGCAATTTTCATTTTTGGATGAACTATCCCTTTAACAGACTAACCTGCCTGTGAGGAAGACTTCTGAGGAATCATTAATACATTTTCATTGCTTGTTTCGCTAGACCTCATAATCATCACGCTGATTTTTACACTTCCTCGCACGCTGACCCTCGTCTGCTTTCACAGGTGCCCTGCTACTCGTACGGCCAGAAGCTCTCCAAGCTGGCTATATTAAGAATCGCTTGCAACTACATACTGTCTCTGGCTCAGCTGGCAGACCTGGACTACTCTCCGGACCAGAGCAAGCTGAGCTTCAGGGAGTGTGTGGAGCAGTGCACCCGGACGCTGCAGGCCGAGGGACGCTCCAAGAAGAGGAAGGTAACCAGTCTAAACGTAAAGAAAACAATGTGTGCATTTCAACTGGTGCCTCTAGAAATACAAGTTGCTCTCATGTGAACCACAACACTGACCCACAAACTGTGAATAATTATAGAAGCTTGAGACTCAGCTGCATTCAGTTACACTTCATTTTGACAGTCCACTTTAGACTTCTGTTTACTGTAAGTAACTTTGCGACTACATGTCATCTAGCAGTCACTAGAGTTGGAATTAGAATTAGTAGTTTAAGATCTGTTAACACTTTATTTTGATGCTCCCCAACAGACATTCAGCTGACTATAAATGTGCAACTACACGTCAGCTAACTGTATTTAGAGTATTAGTAAACTGTTAGGTTTTGTAGAATAAGTTGACATTGTTACTTGCAAAGTGACTTGTAGTCAGAGCTGGGTAGATTAATTACAAATTGTAGGTAATTACTCATTTACTAATTTTAGGTAATGTAATCTGACTACTTTTTTAGATTACTTTTAGATTACTTTTTTTTTATCAAACTTGTGTTAAACCTACCATAGGCATAAAAAAGCACAGAGAAAGAAAATATATTCCATGTTTTGATGTCAACATCATAAGTTGATAGAGAGTGAATGGTGAGTTCATAAAAATCTAAAAATTTATTAAATCATTAAAATGTCAAATAAAATCAATGCGAATGCGTTGTTAAATTATTGAAATATTAACTTCCTCTGCGATATTTCAACAAGTATTTTATTTTAAGGGGTGACAAAAATGTTTGGATTAAACTCACAGTAATAAACATGAAAACAACGACGACACGCCCAAAGTCTTCCAGGTTTCAAATATTTTTGTCCAGACTTCCAGAATCAATAAAATATATGAATAATTTACTGCTGTTGTGTGAATAACATGTAATCATGTAATCCATAAAAAGTAACTGTAATCTGATTACAAGCATTTAAAAAATATGTAATATACTCTATTTAGTACTAATTACAATTATATAAAATATACTCTAATTAAGTAGTACAAAAACTACATTTTTGGAATCTGATGAACTGACAGTCAATAGAGTGTCCATCAAAATAAAGTGTGAGCAGATATTAAGCAGACAGACTATTAGTTGCAGAGTTACTGATGGTTGATAGAAATCCTGAACGATCAGTGTAAAGTGTAAGCCTGCATTCTTAGACATAATTCTGCCATCCCCTAGTTATATTTTCTGCAAGCAATAACAGTAACCAAGGTATTGGTGCATATATGTACCAATTAGAGGGAATTTCCCCTCGCCTAATAACATCCCGTTAAATGAAATGATCATCAGCGTTTGTCAGAGGCAGGACTGCCTGGCTGTTCCGCCAGCTCTTTCCTCCGCGGCCGAATAAATGGAGTGATTGATGTGTTTTGGGGGAGTTTTATGACACGGTCATCTATGTAGTCCTGCAGCAACATGTCGCTCATGACTCTCACGTAGTGCGTTTTTCTTCTGATAGGAGAGTTCAGAACGTTTGTAATGAGATTATTAGCAGCAACGGAGCAGCTGTGACAGAGCTGCACACATGAGAAGCCAGCAGGCATGTGAGCTCATGCGCTCCCCCCGTCCCGTCCCGTCCCGTCAGAGCCAGACACCAGATGTTCGCAGCGCTGCTTGGGAAGTCCTGCTGGCGCCACTCAGGGCAGAGGGCAGGGGGAAGGCACGCGAGCCGAGCCCAGAGAACGCACTCCTGCAGGAACTGGCACATTCCCCAGCGCTCCCTTGGCCATCTGTTCCAAAAAAACACTTTGAAATGAAAACGCAGCGCTCATCACTCTCTTACGGAGCAGCTGTTACAGAGGCCAGGGGAAACGAGAGGAGGAGGAGGGGTGCCGGCCAAGAAAGAAATCCCTTTGTCAAGTAGAGCCAGTGAGTCTGAGGGGAAAAATGTTTTGGCACAGCAGAGGCTTGAAAAGCACTGAGAGAACATGGAAATGTGCATGAATGTCCGTTTCAAAACGAATAGACCGCTTCATATTCAGAATAGCATGCTTTTGTTGTTTGTCTTTGAGAGCTAACATTGATTCTGTTGTTGTTCTTTCACAACAGGAATAAAATGAAGAAAGTGAAGGTGGAGAAAGAAGGACCTCAGTCCATCAACATGAAGACGCTCTCCCCGTGCGGGAAAAGCCTTGTAATGAAAGTGTAAAGTGATTTTACACTGCACTATTGACTTTACTACAGCGAACCGAGTCGAAAACAAAACCGCTCCAGGCTCTGAATAATATGCTGGTCTACAACGTTTGCACGGCAGAAACACAGATGATGTGAAAGCAGCTCATTTTCCATTGTTGCAGCAGACTGGTTATATATTTTGGTTTGTTTTGCAGTGTTCTTATACAGTTTAAGAACTCAAACACAGCTACAAGTTCATGTGCAAATTATGTCAAAAATGTCCTGCCATGTGCAAGAAAGTGCACTTTTTTTCCCTTTTTGTAATCCATATAATTGTTATTCTTTATTTCATCAAATACATCATAAACTATCATATAAATGAAAATGCATATGATAAATTCAGCACTCATCTCTTGTCTTCCATTTGGTTGGTATTAACAATCTGTTCTCAAACAGGAGTCTATGTGGCTCTGTCAGCCAGTCGCTGACTGTATTATATAAATGTATTTACTGTTGAAATACTTTGTTGTAATTAAACGTAGTCCAAGAATTTATCTTCATGACTGAAGAACTGCTTTTTCTGAGGCATTAATAGGCAGTTGTTGGTGACCTGCCAAAACATCAGACTCTAGGAGGAACCAGATCTGAACATTCTGACCCGTGTGGGATTCACAAACAAGCCTCGTCATTCACACAATTAAGTTATTCATTAATTTGTGTTAAAGTCAGTATTATCTGTTGTTCTTCTTGCACACACACACACACACACACACTTATATATGCATGTAGTGCAAATAGTACATAACTTAGATCATTGAGAGATTGAGTGATTTATAAGCATTTTTTATCTACTTACATTTAGTTCAGATTATGATTTAGTTCACTTTTTAAGGTTGTAAGTGGCAGAAGATCATATTTTTGGACAGGTTATGTGATGATTTTAGAGGCTGTCAGCTCAGCAGTCGTTTGTAATGTCATGAAATCAGACAGCTACTTCTATTTGAGGATGTCTATTATCACATGATATAACAAAGAATTAGTCCATAGAAAAAGCAACAATTTATTTATTTTATGTGAAGATGAGCCATCTGTTAAAAAAACTTTTCAGAGAAACGTGCACAAAAAATATTTCTTGTATTTTATTAATATAAAACATTGTATGTACGAAGTAACATTATTCTGGAACTGTGTTCCACTCTGAATGTGTTCAGAAATCTAGCAAGTAACCTCAGGTGACGTTGTATGTCTCACAAATCATCTTCTATGGTCATACTGTCTTACCATGGTCAGCTGATACTGCCAGAATAAGAGAGAGACGCTGTTTTAAGCGGTGCTGTAAACATGCTTTCCCTGTTCTGTCCACCACGTCAAGATCTCACATTGCAGTCTTTGAATACGTCATTCCTTCTATCTGAACGACAGCACTCAGACAGTATTGGTCTTCTTTACTGACCTCACCCCAGATAGTCTGCTTCCATCTCACATGAGCATGTCTGAAAAACCTGCACATTTCCTAAAGTGACTTTTTCAAAGATTCCAGAACAATTTGACAGTCTTTTTACATGTCCTATGCTGTGCAGATTTCCTTTAAAGGTGAGATAAAGGTAAACTCTGAACAGGGAAAGCATGTTTACAGCACTGCTTAAAACAGTGTCTTTATCATGAAAATCAGACTTTTTCTGTGTTTAAGTGCAGTAATTGGTCCCCGGTGCATCTACCAACCCAGAAAATGTGAAATAGAACCCAGTACATTTTTTGGTAAGCCTTTCTCTATAAGTTTGTGAAAAAACGAGCCACTCAGAATTTGCTCCCCGTGACATAAAAAGGAGATATTTATTATATTATTATAATATTTCCACCCCTTAATCTGCAAGTTTCCACCCATGGTGCCGTCATCTTGTTTTCGCAAGCGACAATGGTATATCAGTTCTAACGCCATGACGAAAGTTTGAGCAAAGCATGCTAACCAGTGTTGCCAAGTCCTCGGATTTGGGCTACTTTAACACTGTTGCCACAGGTTGTTTTTCATGTCTGCGGGTTGTAGCAACCCCAATAACGTAATATTTAGCCCTTGGAATGCGAATTTTATCAGGGGAACCTTGCCAAAAACGTGTATTTTACCCCCAGAATGTGATTTTTACAACAACAACAAAAAACACCCTCCCCCTCAAAATGAGATAAGGCTAGTTTTGGGCTGGTTTTGTTGTGAAAACCTGGCAACCCTGATGCTAACCGTTCTGTCTTTGGCTGCACTGATGAGCACGGAACACTATTTAGAGTCCCAGCCTCAGATATTTTATTAATATAAAACATTGTATGTACGAAGTAACATTATTCTGGAACTGTGTTCCACTCTGAATGTGTTCAGAAATCTAGCAAGTAACCTCAGGTGACGTTGTATGTCTCACAAATCATCTTCTATGGTCATACTGTCTTACCATGGTCAGCTGATACTGCCAGAATAAGAGAGAGACGCTGTTTTAAGCGGTGCTGTAAACATGCTTTCCCTGTTCTGTCCACCACGTCAAGATCTCACATTGCAGTCTTTGAATACGTCATTCCTTCTATCTGAACGACAGCACTCAGACAGTATTGGTCTTCTTTACTGACCTCACCCCAGATAGTCTGCTTCCATCTCACATGAGCATGTCTGAAAAACCTGCACATTTCCTAAAGTGACTTTTTCAAAGATTCCAGAACAATTTGACAGTCTTTTTACATGTCCTATGCTGTGCAGATTTCCTTTAAAGGTGAGATAAAGGTAAACTCTGAACAGGGAAAGCATGTTTACAGCACTGCTTAAAACAGTGTCTTTATCATGAAAATCAGACTTTTTCTGTGTTTAAGTGCAGTAATTGGTCCCCGGTGCATCTACCAACCCAGAAAATGTGAAATAGAACCCAGTACATTTTTTGGTAAGCCTTTCTCTATAAGTTTGTGAAAAAACGAGCCACTCAGAATTTGCTCCCCCTGTGACATAAAAAGGAGATATTTATTATATTATTATAATATTTCCACCCCTTAATCTGCAAGTTTCCACCCATGGTGCCGTCATCTTGTTTTCGCAAGCGACAATGGTATATCAGTTCTAACGCCATGACGAAAGTTTGAGCAAAGCATGCTAACCAGTGTTGCCAAGTCCTCGGATTTGGGCTACTTTAACACTGTTGCCACAGGTTGTTTTTCATGTCTGCGGGTTGTAGCAACCCCAATAACGTAATATTTAGCCCTTGGAATGCGAATTTTATCAGGGGAACCTTGCCAAAAACGTGTATTTTACCCCCAGAATGTGATTTTTACAACAACAACAAAAAACACCCTCCCCCTCAAAATGAGATAAGGCTAGTTTTGGGCTGGTTTTGTTGTGAAAACCTGGCAACCCTGATGCTAACCGTTCTGTCTTTGGCTGCACTGATGAGCACGGAACACTATTTAGAGTCCCAGCCTCAGAGGAGACAAGAGAGCAGTGGATGTATTGATTTATTTACTGTATATTACACTGTTGCTGCACAGATGTGTGTATTTGACAGTCTTAAGCATAATAAGACATGGAAGAGAACTTAGTTTAGTACTCACATGCCTTGTGACAGACACTTTCTGTGCGCAAGCTTCGGATGTGTGCTCTCAGAAAACCCTATATCAGAAGTTTAAACTGATATGGCTTTAAAAAGCATGCAAATAAGTTTTCAGTGCAATAGATGTGACAAATCAAAACCAAACAGACGTATTTAGCAGAGTATCTGACGTACGAGCTGTAAAGGCGCAGCTCTGTTCTGGAAAAGGGGGCGGGGAGCAGCAGCTCATTTGCATTTAAAAAGACATGCATGAAAACAGCGTGTTTCTGCTTCCACTCAAAATAGGCATTTTCAAAATGATATAATAAATGATCTGTTGGGTATTGTGAGCTGAAACTTCACAGACACATTCTGGGGACACCAGAGACTTATATTACATCTTGTAAAAAGGGGCATAATAGGTCTCCTTTAACAAGAGGTTTGCTTCTCTAAACCTCCAGTTGGTGTACAATTACACCACAACAATCACAACTCTGTTTTGGTTTCATTATGCAATTTGCATTGTAATTTTCTTTACCAATAATTAATAATTTTCATTTCTGCCTTTCATTTAAAGGCCAACTCTTTTACACAAACAGGTCTTCATACTGTTACCACAGACTTTCTAAAAAGTGGTGAATGTCCATCTCTGTCTCCATCATTTGGTGAGACCTGCCTCAAGATCTGTCCCATTCTCATTCTGCTGAACCTTGATTTAAGTCCTTCCAGAAGGGCAGAAGTTTTAAGCTCTTTTGGGAAGGAGAGGTGTTTAACCAGTGGGGTAGCGCAGGGGTCGATGCTGGGCCCCCTCTCTTTCTACATACGTAACATCACTGAGTCCATTCATACAGGCACAGACTGGCCATAGGCGGAGTTTCACTTTTATGCTTGGGGGCGGTCCTTCTGTAGACTGTAGACTTCATCTTTAAGTTTCTCAAGAGCAATCGGCGATGCGATCGCACATTTCACAAGATCCATTTCAGCTGTCACAAGCAGAGGCTGAATCTTAAGGCTTGCGCACATGCTGCTTAAACTGAATACTGCATCACACGCCACACTCAAGAACATCGCTTCAAATCGCCTGTGCAATTCAGCCAGAAATAAATTGGTGGGTTTATAATAAAAAAAAAAAATTAAAAAAAAAAGAATTTTTGTTAACTTGCTAAAGAGGGAAAATAATGAAAAGAGAGTCCTCCCATGTCCTCTCAAGTTGAGAATCATGAGTCGTGACTCGCAAGGATATGGAGCTTAAATAATTAATCTAGCCCAAAACGTACTTATTCTATCTACTAAAACAATAAGATAATACAAATTAAATGTGAATTCTTTAATTTTTATATTTTATTCATAGCTCAGACAAAATCATTATTGGCTCTCGTCTGGGGGGCAGTGCTAGTTTCTCATATAAATGATTTAAACAGAAAACTGAATATCATCAGGTTGGCACATCTGTATAACATGCAGATCTCACACCCATTCACAAGCTACTGGATCAGTCTTATTCCAAAAGATGTTTTCCAAGTTGAAGTCTAGGCAAGGAGAAACAGGACAGAGATGAAATAACCCAAAGGACATTTTTTTTAATGATTCGTCTTATCAGCTAAAGGAAAGTAAAGCATTAAAATACAGAAACGTAAAAGTGTGACCCCATTCATATATGAGGCTCAGTTCCAGCACAGGGCTTGAAGGCATAAATGAAACCATGTGATGGACAAGAATTCTGTGAACCTCACCAAAAGTGGTGTTCCACAATATTATGAAAACCACATCCATCTGTCTGAATACTCTGGGCTGCCCAAACTCGGTCCTGGAGGGCCAGTGTCCTGCAGAGTTTAGCTCCAACCCTAATCAAACACACCTGAAGCAGCTAATCAAGCTCTTATAGGCATACTAGAAACTTCCAGGCAGGTGTGTTGAGGCAAGCTGGAGCTAAACTCTGCAGGACACCGGCCCTCCAGGACCGAGTTTGGGCACCCCTGCTCTACACAGTTCTTCTGCCATTCGAAGACCACTGCAATTCTTTCCAGCTACAGAACTATCTGACATTACAAGTCACTATTTCCGGGTCCAAACGCTCCATCAGATGGCAAAAACAAACACCTACAAACACCTGCTAACACTCACAGTGTGCTGTAATACTACTGGGGGATAGGGGTCACTATCCTAACCTTTCAAGTCGCATTCTCAAATGTGAGGCAAAGGTCCGATTCCCAATCGAATAAATGATTGAGTTGAATAAATGAGAGAGAAGGAATGGAAAACGAGGAGATCAGTCTGTACGCAATAGGCAATGCACCCTTTTTATCTAATGGTACTTCAAGAATTCAATCTAGATGGGATTTTGGTGGAAGATTCGGAAAGACGGGAAATTCGTTTTTAACAAGGTTTAAGAATTGCAAGTATCTAAAAAAATAATAAAATGGACACTAGAAAGGGAGAATTTTTGTGTTAACAGAAAAGCTATGAAAAATATCATCAACGTAGATATCATTGACAACTGAAATCCATCCTCTGCCAAATATGACATGATTTATCAACATCACAAAATGACTTAATTTTTTTTTATTAATTAGTGTACAGCATAAAAAAAACAATGATGAAGCACAAACTAACAATGTGCCTTGCATCTTAAATATAAAAGACATGCTAACACATGGTTTTCTGTAAAACTGCTTTGAAACTACACACTGGTAGAGTGTGAAAATCTCAATACTGTCTTACAATTATATCAGTGAGTAATATTTCTTCATTACTTAGGACTTGCAAGTAAAACTGAAAATGACCCAAACACATTTGTCTTGAAACTCATTCTGCGGAGTTCTTTTGAGACATAAATGCTGTACCGTGCACTCCTGAAATAAGACGGCTAATGTTAATCAGCCCAGAAGAACAACAAACCATTTAAAAGATCTACACTTGCAGGAAGACTGAAGACGACCGCTGCAGTCTTTAGCTGGAGATCTTTCAGCTCATTACAGTTCCCGAAAAATAGTGGCAGGAGCCAGAAAGGAAACATTAGTATCCTGTGTATGAACGTGTGTGTGTGTGTGTGTGTGTGTGTGTGTGTGTGTGTGTGTGTGTGTGTGTGTGTGTGTGTGTGTGTGTGTGTGTGTGTGTGTGTGTGTGTGTGTGTGTGTGTGTGTGTGTGTGTGTGTGTGTGTGTGTGTGTGTGTGTGTGTGTGTGTGTGTGTGTGTGTGTGTGTGTGTGTGTGTGTGTGTGTGTGTGTGTGTGTCCACATGAGAGAAAGGCAAATGGAAATAAGAAATCAATTTATGACATGCCAAAGACAGTTTGCTGCAATTTTGTGACCTCACGTGAAGTATACAGCAAAGATGAATGTCGTTTCTCTTTACTACTAGACTGTTCAGTGTATTTTCTACAACAACGGCTCCATCTATTGGAAAAGTACAGTTATTGCACAAAATATAAATACAGGTAACATTAACAAAAAAATATGCATAATGAAAATTACAAATTATATTATTTTGCATGTTCAGACAACTAGAATCTGCTTACGTTTTATTGCTTATTAATATAAACATTCACCAAACTGCTTTAAATAAAATATTTTACTTTGGCATAATAGCTTTTTAAAACAAAAGACACTAAAAATGAATGAATTAAATGTTTAATCTAAAACCTTAATCTTTTTGTGATTGGCCTTGCTTTGATAAAAAACAGAACAGCCAGAGCATCAGCATCACAGCTTTAAAGATGGTAAAATACTCAGCAGTGCTTCATTCGTAGTGTGTCAATGACTGTTTTCAGTTATTCCCTCACTTTCCTGAATTATTCCTCACACGTGCCACTGTGAGAGTCTGTCCCTCTCAGTCATCTGGAGTCAAGACAGTCATCTTGAACAGAAGTTGCAGTGGATTCCTCCCGTGAGGTCAGTAATACTGCCAGACGTTACCAGACGCTTGAGGAAAACCGTCTCGGTCTGAACGTCATGCATGGCTTCCTTTAGCATGGATGTCATGAGTCTGTGGTCGTAGTAATGGAGAGGAGCGTCTTTCTGGCTGAGGTTATAGCCAAAGCCTGCTAAGCTCACCTCATCACACAGGTATGTTGCCAGATTGAGTGCAGACACTCCTAAAGTAGGGACATTCTGTAGAGAAACAACATTTTAAGAATTTATTTTAAACACACACACACACACACACACACACACACACGAGATGCTATGAAATATTTCATATGCAAAAAATTTAAAGAATTGAATATTGAAATATTATTTTAAAAAACAAGAAAAGAAAAAGGAAATGATACTCTGTCAAAACTAAAACCACTAGATGGCTGCAACTTTTCAGTCATTCATTAAACTAATTCATTCAAACAGCTGATTCATTTGGAAGCGAAGCTTACAAATTAGTCTCCAAATCCCTGACTCACTAGATTCATTATTCAACGGCTGATTCATTCAGAAATGAAGCAAGTGACTGTCTTTATGAATGAGTCACTGAATCACTTGATTCGTTCAAAACTGTGGATTTATTCAGTAATGAATGATCGCTGTGTGTTGATCAGAGATGCTTAACAGTGCTGCTGTGGCTCGGATTGGAAATATTTTCAGCTGTGAAATGTAACCATATCACTGAACTGTGAGGGTGATTTTTTTTGTCCTCATTTATAGAATTTTAGACTCATGACTGTATTCTAACAGATTCCATCATGCAGTCAGTCGTCCTGCATCATGATCATCAGACACTGTAAGGTGATGGAACGGGGTATTGCATTAAATATGTTCATAATTTTAACACATAAAAGCAAAACATTTCCCCATATAAAAGCAATGAAAAGCAGCTCACCTGGTCCCAGCTCGAGAGGCGCTCTCTAACACTGGGATAGTGAAGCAGATCCAAAGCTGTCTCTCTAATAATCTCTGGATTCAGCAGACGGAACTGAGAGGCCTTGAGCGGGAGACTCACCGGCACATTCTGCCAGAAACACAGCCAGTCCCACAGCGACTGAAAGGTGATATGTTAAATGTGACATTCAGACATACTGCACTGATCAAGACAATCATCTGCCTGATGCGCAAACAAGCACTTACAACGGACGTCTTGGTAATCATCGCACGAAGCCAGTGGAAGTTGACAGACTTATAGATCACAGCCACAAATCTAAGATCTGAATCCATGTCTTCCCAGACCTTCGGGGAGCCCTCAGGATAACTCATCCTGATAGAGGTGCGGTTCCCAACGTCTGCGCTGAAACCTCGCACAGGACCACTGTTCAATCTGCATACAAACAACAGTCCTGTATTTATTTATATACACATACATATACACGCACACAAACCCACACGCACATCCTTTAGGTAAAATCAGAGAAATTAAGCAGAGCAGACTCTCACCTGATGATGGTATCAAACTGGTTAAAAAGAGGTCCGAGTCCTAGTCCTTTCAGTATTCCTCCATTTCCAATCACTAGACATCGACAACAGTCCCTCCCTCCACGTCTCTCCTCAGAGGAGGCTGGTAGGAGGTCCAGGATCTCCTGAAGCTGGTTCTTCATGTCCAGGAAACCAAACGGTGGGGGATATTGGAATATTTGTTCATTCGGATGAGTGTTCTTGTCCAAGAAGGGCTCTAGCACTGGTGTGGAGCTGTAATGTTCAGCCTCCATTCTCTGTCGGGCAAAAGAAGGTCTGCATTCTTGGGCCAGTATGTCTCGGACATCGTGTGTGTGTGTGTGTGTGTGTGTGTGTGTGTGTGTCCACATGAGAGAAAGGCAAATGGAAATAAGAAATCAATTTATGACATGCCAAAGACAGTTTGCTGCAATTTTGTGACCTCACGTGAAGTATACAGCAAAGATGAATGTCGTTTCTCTTTACTACTAGACTGTTCAGTGTATTTTCTACAACAACGGCTCCATCTATTGGAAAAGTACAGTTATTGCACAAAATATAAATACAGGTAACATTAACAAAAAAATATGCATAATGAAAATTACAAATTATATTATTTTGCATGTTCAGACAACTAGAATCTGCTTACGTTTTATTGCTTATTAATATAAACATTCACCAAACTGCTTTAAATAAAATATTTTACTTTGGCATAATAGCTTTTTAAAACAAAAGACACTAAAAATGAATGAATTAAATGTTTAATCTAAAACCTTAATCTTTTTGTGATTGGCCTTGCTTTGATAAAAAACAGAACAGCCAGAGCATCAGCATCACAGCTTTAAAGATGGTAAAATACTCAGCAGTGCTTCATTCGTAGTGTGTCAATGACTGTTTTCAGTTATTCCCTCACTTTCCTGAATTATTCCTCACACGTGCCACTGTGAGAGTCTGTCCCTCTCAGTCATCTGGAGTCAAGACAGTCATCTTGAACAGAAGTTGCAGTGGATTCCTCCCGTGAGGTCAGTAATACTGCCAGACGTTACCAGACGCTTGAGGAAAACCGTCTCGGTCTGAACGTCATGCATGGCTTCCTTTAGCATGGATGTCATGAGTCTGTGGTCGTAGTAATGGAGAGGAGCGTCTTTCTGGCTGAGGTTATAGCCAAAGCCTGCTAAGCTCACCTCATCACACAGGTATGTTGCCAGATTGAGTGCAGACACTCCTAAAGTAGGGACATTCTGTAGAGAAACAACATTTTAAGAATTTATTTTAAACACACACACACACACACACACACACACACACACACGAGATGCTATGAAATATTTCATATGCAAAAAATTTAAAGAATTGAATATTGAAATATTATTTTAAAAAACAAGAAAAGAAAAAGGAAATGATACTCTGTCAAAACTAAAACCACTAGATGGCTGCAACTTTTCAGTCATTCATTAAACTAATTCATTCAAACAGCTGATTCATTTGGAAGCGAAGCTTACAAATTAGTCTCCAAATCCCTGACTCACTAGATTCATTATTCAACGGCTGATTCATTCAGAAATGAAGCAAGTGACTGTCTTTATGAATGAGTCACTGAATCACTTGATTCGTTCAAAACTGTGGATTTATTCAGTAATGAATGATCGCTGTGTGTTGATCAGAGATGCTTAACAGTGCTGCTGTGGCTCGGATTGGAAATATTTTCAGCTGTGAAATGTAACCATATCACTGAACTGTGAGGGTGATTTTTTTTGTCCTCATTTATAGAATTTTAGACTCATGACTGTATTCTAACAGATTCCATCATGCAGTCAGTCGTCCTGCATCATGATCATCAGACACTGTAAGGTGATGGAACGGGGTATTGCATTAAATATGTTCATAATTTTAACACATAAAAGCAAAACATTTCCCCATATAAAAGCAATGAAAAGCAGCTCACCTGGTCCCAGCTCGAGAGGCGCTCTCTAACACTGGGATAGTGAAGCAGATCCAAAGCTGTCTCTCTAATAATCTCTGGATTCAGCAGACGGAACTGAGAGGCCTTGAGCGGGAGACTCACCGGCACATTCTGCCAGAAACACAGCCAGTCCCACAGCGACTGAAAGGTGATATGTTAAATGTGACATTCAGACATACTGCACTGATCAAGACAATCATCTGCCTGATGCGCAAACAAGCACTTACAACGGACGTCTTGGTAATCATCGCACGAAGCCAGTGGAAGTTGACAGACTTATAGATCACAGCCACAAATCTAAGATCTGAATCCATGTCTTCCCAGACCTTCGGGGAGCCCTCAGGATAACTCATCCTGATAGAGGTGCGGTTCCCAACGTCTGCGCTGAAACCTCGCACAGGACCACTGTTCAATCTGCATACAAACAACAGTCCTGTATTTATTTATATACACATACATATACACGCACACAAACCCACACGCACATCCTTTAGGTAAAATCAGAGAAATTAAGCAGAGCAGACTCTCACCTGATGATGGTATCAAACTGGTTAAAAAGAGGTCCGAGTCCTAGTCCTTTCAGTATTCCTCCATTTCCAATCACTAGACATCGACAACAGTCCCTCCCTCCACGTCTCTCCTCAGAGGAGGCTGGTAGGAGGTCCAGGATCTCCTGAAGCTGGTTCTTCATGTCCAGGAAACCAAACGGTGGGGGATATTGGAATATTTGTTCATTCGGATGAGTGTTCTTGTCCAAGAAGGGCTCTAGCACTGGTGTGGAGCTGTAATGTTCAGCCTCCATTCTCTGTCGGGCAAAAGAAGGTCTGCATTCTTGGGCCAGTATGTCTCGGACATAGGACTGGACACGCTGTAAGTGAAAGTACACTGCTTAATGCATACACACATATTAACCCAACTGAAAACATTTATTTTGTGCAATTTACCTCATGGTAAACAGGGCATCAGCAAACATAGAAAATTAATTTCATGCTTTGGCAATCATGGACAGGCACTAGTCTGGTTTAGATCCTACCAGACATTGCTTAAATATCTGACCCCCCAAAAAAGTTAAGTATGTTGTGCCACAGGGCTCAGTCCTAGGCCCTTTGATATTTTCCCTGAACATGCTCATTTTAGGTCAGTGGTTCATAACTCTGGTTCTAGGGACCCACAGGATTTCTATGTATGAATCAGGCATGTAAATAAAGAAGAAATGTAGAATGCAGTTCTGTGTCCAAGACCGGAGCTGAGAAGAACTGCATTAGCTGATATTAGGAAGCATAGCATTTGCCTTCACAGATATGCAGACAACATAGCTCTATTAATGGATGTTTTCATTCCTTGCCACCATTGCCTTTGGACTGGTATTTTTTATTATTATTTTTCCCCCACCACATCACTTGACTTCTTTTCAATTCTCTGCAACAAGCAGGTGTCAGAAACGAAAAGTTGCATAGCACTGTTATCAGGGCACTTCTGCTTTTCTATAAGCGGCAGCGACTGTCAGAGAGTGAATTTAAATTTACATTTATATTTGTTTATTTAACGGACAGTTGTATCCAAAATTACTTCCAGATGAGGAATATATTTTCATTACAACCACATGCTGTTCTTCCCACACTGATCTGAACAGACAAACCACATGCAGAAGTGCAGGCAGAAGTAGGGCGGCATTATTAATCGAATATGATAGTCATGCACATCTTGTCAGTAAACCCGGTTCTGTGATCAGCAGTAAATCTCCATCACATGCTTTCAGATGGAGCAGCATTTACCACACATAGCCATAGTTCACTGACAAGCTACGCCAAAAAAAAAATAAAAAAACGCAGACAATATATTCACGCAATTATGAAATCGAAGATATCGTTCTGCGATAATGACAGCTGTTTGCGTAGTTTCTCAGTGAACTACGGCTCTGTGCAGTAAATGCTGCTCCATCTGAAAGCATGTGAAAATACCACATTTAATAACATATTTTTACTCCAAACTCACTTCATAACGTCAGTCGAGTGTTTGAAATAAATCCTTCTGTGAGATGATGTGGCTTCTTACACAGAATAAGGCATGCAACATATTTCATAGCATTCTAAGCAGTGATAAAGGCTATGTCGATCAGCATTGCATTATTATATACTTTATTATAATAAGAACTCCGATAAACCATATATTGTGGTAGTCGTGTGTTTATTAGTCACGCTGAATCAATGAAAGCAGTTAAATCTTCTGTTTATTCAGCTAGCGCTATAGGGATTGCCTGGATTTCTTCTGCGGGGTGTATTTGGACTTTCTCTGGCCTTCAGATGGAGATTTACTGCTGATCACAGAACCGTTCTTCACTGAAAGATACACATGACAATCGCAGATTTTGCCTTATTGCAATTTTATTGTGATTTATCGTGCAGCCCTAGGCAGAAGTAATTTTTGCTTTTAGTACTTTCAGATAAGCATTCTTAATGCAATTACAATTTGTTTAATGTCCAAAAAGATACATATAGGAAGATTATTTATTCAACTACAAGTGGAATGTTCACCAAGTCTTATAAACCACCAAAACCTTGTAAAAAACGTAAGACAAACACCAGAACATATAGAACATATTAGAGATAAGACTTTAATAAAGACAGAAAAGCTGTGTGTCAGTTCTTCTGAAAATAACAGCCGTGCATCAGGGTGTGTTCTGTTTCACAATCACACACACTCCCAAACAACCCCAAACACCTCCTCACTGACATTTTAAAGTGAGTTACACTTCATCAATTTTGTGGTAATATCATGAAGTAATCAAAAGTTACAGCATTTGGAACCAAGGTAGCCTTTCTCTTAGCCCTTGACAGTTTTGAAATTGTTGTTTTGAATTTGAAGTAATGCCGCACTCAAGTTTAGTCAAAGCCCCAAACAATTATATTTGTTTTATTCTACTCGATGAGACCTTTCAAATGACATATGACACATGACTGTGGATGTGGGCCACTTAAGGTATAATGATATAGGATTAGGAAGTATAGCATTTGCCTTCACAGATATGCAGACAACATAGCTCTATTAATGGATGTTTTCATTCCTTGCCACCATTGCCTTTGGCAATTTATATATTCATATATATATTCATTATATATTCATATAAATAATGATATAGCACTGCTGGCCTTCTTCCCAGATAGCAAGAACGTTTGGGCCAAATGTGGCTGATAGCTGTCACATTTGGCCTAGGTATGGCATGGCTGAGCACATATGGGCCAAACTTTAACCGTATATGTTTTGCCATGGGTTTAGAATTGAAGGGAATTTTCTTTTGGATGACAATTTTTTTGAGGTATATGGTCCAGATGATAGCACACAACTGAGAGCCATATGTGGCTTGGCTATGGCACACCATGGAATATGTTAACTTATGGTTAACATTTGGCTTTTATTTGGAAAAACACATATAAACTGCTGGCAGGTCAGTGGCAGTCCACATCTCAGCCCATTCAACAATGCTATTGGTTGCTTTGGGTCTTCCCTTATTCCTATTGGTGGATTACTGAAATTTTGAAAATATATCCGTTATTTCCCGCTCTGCTTCCTCTTTCAATCGCCGTTCAGTAAACCACTGTTTATATATATAAAAAAAAAGCAATTAAAAGTTTTCTCCCCCTGCTGTACCAAAAATGTATCAAACTGTGACTTCAAAACTGAGGTACAATTACACTACTAATGTTTTCATTAATTATGTATATTATTAAGCAGGGCCGGAATGGGACTCATTTTCAGCCCTGGAGTTTCATGCCTTAGACCGGCCCACTTTGTTTTTTTGTTTGTTTAGTTTTTTTTACTGGCCTTTTCAGTGCCGCCTTTGCGCTTTCTATTATGCATTTTTTATCTATTCTTTTTTTGCTAGCATATCTCCAACAATGACTTTTTTTTTGTTTTTTGAGCAAGGTTCCGCTGTCAGGGGAGTCAAAAGATAATTACGTCATCATTGCCAATTAACATAAGAAATTGAAAAGAAGGGACAATTGTGATTCTTTATCTTATTCTTTAAGAAAATAGTATTTATTCTTGTAGAAAATAAGTGTTTATTCTTTAAGAAAATAAGGGACAGAATAAGGGACGATCCAGATATTTGTACTGTACCATAATGTAGGCTTAAGTCTGCCTGCAGTTAAAAAGTTCTCAGAAATAATCACAATTGTTTTGCTTAACCTATTTATGTACAATTATTCTAAAAAATACTTTTAATGTCATACAAAAAATGTCATCGGCCTGAGTAAATTGTACCATTATAGAACAGGGTTTCTGCAGACTTGAACAAGTTTATTGAACTGTTGTAAAAAATCAATATCACATTTGTATATGGTAATTTTTGGAGAAAAAAAGGCACTCTTCCTGTGTGAACTTGAGTATAAATATACACATTTTCTGCCCCCATGTGCAGTGAATCATGCAGTGATCTGGCAGAGGCGCACTCTAAATGCGCACGCGCACTAGACTTTGTAGGTGTTTTGAATGTTTTTTCTGTCCAATGATTGTAAAGTCATTAGGTCCGTCAGACTGAAGATATTTTAGCAGTAATGAGACCAAAAATAATTAAGACCCATCGAATCCGAATTTAAGACATTTTAAGACTTAAGGCCTTATATTAGGAAAACGTTATTTAAGACATTTTAAAGAGGTCATATGATGTTGCTGAGTTGAATTACTGAAATAAATTAACTTTTCCACGACATTCTAATTTATTGAGATGCACCTGTAAATAAAAAGAGTGGGGCTGCTATGAATGCAGGCAGCCTAGAAACAGCATAGTTCAACCCAGTGGCATGACAACACCGGCCCTTGCGGCCAAAAAACAGACCGGCCCACCGGGAATCCTCCCGCTGCTCCCGATTAGCCAATCCGGGCCTGTTATTAAGTATTATGTCTAAAAATAGCTTGTTAGCTAAAAATTTCCTAATTTAAAAAGGCACTCATGTCTTGGGTGATCGAAAAGAATGTGTGCAGTGCTGATTTACACTCATTTATGTGCTTGTCTTGAAATAATATCTAATGTGTAATACTAATTATGATATACTAATGTTCTTTTTTCTCTTCTTTTTCCTGACAGGCTGTGAGTGAGAAAGACTGGTGAGACAAAAAAAAAAAAAAAAGAATAAATTTT